CCTTGCTACTGACTTTTCTGCCAGTAGAAGTCCAAACGAAATCAGATGTCAGAATGCATGGTGATGATATCTACTTAGAAATCATTCTAACACACTGTGGAAAATATTTACAAGCTTCCAAGATGAGACTTTTCCTGATTAGGGAAATCAAAGAATAGTTTTCCCAGCAGGCCTGCAGTTACCTCATCCAAATTACTTCTGTTTTAATTGGCATGCATTTCCTTTAAGCAGCTAGAAGATGAAAAATATTTGACTTGGGCTCTACAGGAATGGAAGCCTCTTCCCCAAGACACAGCCACTCTGGAAAAAAACCCCCAATGCCTAACCAACAAATAATTCGAGTTTGTATGACAAAAATCCATGAAATCTTTGACAAACAAAATCCCAGACCAGGGTGATGACTCATATTGTGACTTCTTAATGCGAAAAATAAGGATAATATTTTACTCAGGTTTTCTAGTATGTGAGTTCTTTTGCTACCTGAAGTGAATCTGGGTGGGCCGCTATGTTCTCTTTTTATTCACAGCATACTGTTGTTTTCAAACTGCGCTTTAGGAAATTTTTTACCCAAATTTCTTGTTTCTAAAGCTTGTTTCAGAAGCATTGGTAAAATTAAAAATAAATAATCTTTATTAAAAGCTACTGTTCTTGTCAGGAAGAGTAGTGTAATGATGTGTGTGAAATTAGTTTTCCAGATACTGGAGATTTTTATTTCTCTTTTGCTGAACGTGTCTGTGGAGGACTGCTTTCTCTATAAATTGTTATGGGGAATGGTGAGAGCAAATACACATAACTGAGGAGGAAATGATTGTGTGCTAGAGCAGTGTCAAAAGCTGTGCGCTCAGGATTTGAGGATGATGGCTCTTTGTGGCCTGGGAAGCATTTGGTTATAGATTAAAACCATTGAAGCACACTGTAAATGATGGTCTTTGGATTGAAAGAGATTGAGTGACCTTGAGTTAAAGAGGTTGAGAAATTTTGGCCTGCAGGCCCTGAGGGGACTCAGGCTTCTCTGAAAAGAAAGGGAGAAGTCCTTCAGCTCCCTGGTTATTTCCCACCCCCAGTGCAATGCACCTTCTGCTGCTGAAGCTTGTGGGTTGCTCAGCCTTGTTCCCTTTGACTGCTGGAGATGTTGTTCCTCAGATAGCTTAGCCCATAGCAGTGGGATTAGTTTCAAGTGCCATTGGATATCTTTTTGTCACGTAGTTACGCAGATTTGCCCTATAACCAGTGGAAGCAGGCACCCCTAGCCTGAAATTCAGTTCACCTAATTTAGATGTCCATATGAGAAAGAGATCAGTCTCAGTTTAGAAGTGCCTGTTTCTCTTTGGAGAGCGTCTGGATCTGCAACTCCTGTGAGGCAAAAGAACAGCTATGTGGTAGATCAAGGTAGATCCGAATCAAATCGGTGAGGGCTTTTCAGTGATGTTGTTCCTGAATAATATCAGTCATTCATTTTGATTGAAAATGTACAGGTAATTCTGCTTTTCTAAAATCAGAATTGCTTGGTAATTCACCTATACTACAGGTGATAGAAAATATCACTGTTTTGAATGTGGTTTTTTTTGAACGAATCCCTTCCCTGACTTCCTCCACCCCAAAACCAGCAAACAAAAACCCCCACCCAAACCTAGTGCAATACTTGGATTTCTAGGAGACTCTAAATTTCACCCACTTGTAGTAATTTGATCTGGTTTGGAGCTATAAAGCCTGTAGCCCCAGTGATGGGGGAGTACTGTCATATGCCAGTCTCAAGTTTTCTATCCCTCAGCTCTCGTTAAAGGACTATTAGCCACTCTTCCTGAGCGAGGTGTTGATGTGTCAGTCATGCTAACCTGGTATGCGCTCTGGCGAGGTTCCTGGACTTTTCATAAAAGAGATTCGAGGATCGAATGAAGCCTGCGTATCTTGTTCCATGGCGTTAGGGAGATGCATTGTCAGTGAACAATGTTAGTCATGCTTTGTGCTTTCTGTATTTTACCATCTACCTTTCAAAACGTGAGATGGTGTTTCCCCGGTGTCGTAACATTAGGTGAATCGTGGAGAACACAAACTCTGAGTGATTTGTTTTTTAAAGCTCCGAAGGAAGCATAGACTTCATATTTGTTGTTTAATATTTAATTGAAGGTGAAATAAAAAATTAAGCAGGCAAATGACTCAAACATGCCAAAAAGCCACAACACAGTCTTGCTGTGGCTGACAAATGACAGTGAATTTCTAAGAATAGAAGCAAATATATTAACATATAGTGATGGCACAGTAAGTCAAAAGAGATGCTTTGCTTGAGAGTGGTGGACACATCCCACCGAAAAATCATGCAGAAAACATCATTGATACTGAGTTTAGTACCCTTTGCATCACTAATGAAATTAGTATTTGCAGAGGAGAGCCATCTACCAATAATTATCCTTTCATTGTGGTGTTATGGAACAGTTTAAGAACTGTTTTATTTTATTAGAGGACTGTTTAAAAAGCCCACGGGACAAGCAAAGCCCTATAAATTCTCTGTTAGGTGAATGGTGTGGGTTGGTTGTTTGGGGTTTTGTTTTGGTTTTGTTTTTAACATCGTGGCTGTTTTAGACACCCAGCGTTCTAGATCTTGAAGTGTCCTCATCTTAGGAATAGATTCTTTTTTTGCCCACTGGAAATAAATAGTAGTCTGTCATTTCAGCTATTCATTATTATTAATGATGCCTCGTTTTCACAACATTTTTCTGAGTATTCTTTTTCATAATCAAATCTGAGTCTGCTTTTTGATCTAGCTGGCAGCAGCAACTGATCATAGATGAAACCAGGAAGAGTCTGAAATGCTGATTTTTAGGAAAGGGGAAGCATATGATCAGTGGAGGTTGAGGTGATTCAGTGCCTCTCGGGATGAAGTCTGTTTTACTGGACATCTGTGACATTTTTATCCTGCAATTTTTTCAAAATACTGCTACAGGCTGATGTTTTTTCTATTCGGAATACTGATCATGCATCCTGTTTGAAAACAGATAAAGCAATAGTAAGGTCTTTTCTGCATGCTATACATAGGGAATTATCTAGAAGCGAATTGACACTGTGAACACTGTCCAGCATGCAAGCGTGGAAAGTTGCGTGTTGTTGACAGAGCAGAATATCTCCTCCTTGGCTATTGCTTGGCAAATAAAGGCCACTTTTAATTACTATTCCACTTTATTGCTCACTGTAAGCCACAATTTGTGCTGAAATTCTTCTGTTCTCGTGAACTTGAAAAGCAATATGTGAAATCAAGGTTGGCAGAAGTTCTTAGCGCTAGAATACATGTCAATAAAGAAGCACGTAGCAGTTGATTGCTATTTTAATTGCATTCTGTAATATTGTAGTGATGTCACTGTGGGCAAAGAGGAGTTGGTGCGTACAGCGGGCGCATGCAGAGCAACGGCAATGCAGTTAGATCAGTGGAGATACCAAGCCTGTGTCTTCTGTTAACTATGTGTGGGCAGGAGATTACAATTGTTGCACAAATACAAAATTGGGACTTGAAACACTTTGGGATCCTCTTCGTCCTTTACGTGTGTACGCCTTGCAGCGGTGTATTGCTGTACCTAGACAGTTCCAAATACGCACTTTGACTACGACAGGCTTGTCAGTCATTAGGCTGATGGTGTGCTTTTTTAAAGATCTTTTTTATTATGAAAAAACTATTGAGACCTATAGATTAGACAGTGCGCACGCACTAACCCACCTGAGGCAAAAAAGAAACCTTTAATCTCTGTTAAAACTCTCTGTGCCAAATATAATAGCTGGTTTCAGCAGTATTTAAACCAACTTCATTAGCATATGGGAAGGGGAAACAGGTTTTAAAGGCTGGTTTTAGCAAGTAATCAACTGTCTCCCAGATGGTCCAAATGTGACTTGTTCAACACTGCGCACGGGGGGCGGGAAAGAAAAAAAAAGAAAAAAGAAGGAAAGCACCCCAACCAGTGCCACCCTGCGTGCAGATGTATTTGGGTGTGTTGTGTGTTGGCCCCACGCTCACAGATTTTCAGCTGTCAGGGCCGTTGGCAAGCGGGCTCGCGGGCCGTGCTGGAGGAAAGCAGCCCAGGTGCTGCCTGCCTTACCTGAGCCGTAGCTCTGGCTGTTCAAAGCGAGACCATCAAGTGTGTTAGCTCTTTTCTGGGGTACGCTTCCTTTCACAGAGGCAAGGCTGCAAGATGTAATGTATGTAAATGTATTCTGCATTTGTGATGGTGGCTCTAGTTTTTCCCCCAGTTTTACTGTCCTTGCACTGAAAAACAGTTTTGCTTTAACCCATTATGAAAACTAGAAGCGTTTAACTAATTTTTGTTACCTTGTAGCCTTTATGAGAGAGTCTTTGTTCTTGCCAGATGAAAGATTGATGTGGCTGCACATACTGGAGGTGCATCAAGCATGCTGGACTAATCGCTCACTTATTAATATTCATGAGTCATCTCATTTAGCGGGTGCTCTGGGGACTTGATTAAAGTAAGCAACGCTGCCATTGGTGCTTTAGCCGTAGAGAGCTTTATCTAAGACAGAGCTAGTGTTATCCTTGTTGTCGATGCTAGCTCTGGCTACCTGCAGCATTTTACAGGACATCTGTACAGTGCTTCTGCACGGCTTCTCTTAAATGACGAGTCAAACTGCAATGAGAGAGCAAATAAATTTGAAATCACCTTTGTAACGCGTTATTGCTCACTCTTGTAATGAGTCATTTCTGTTTGTTCCCAAAGGTCCAGAGGAGAAATGACCATGTAGATTCTACAGCTTGGGTGCAGCATAATGGGAAATGGTGAATGGAGTGGAGCTGGTCTGCAGCCTTGAAAGCAGCCGTTCTGCGGACCACTAGTCAGTCAGGGACACCTTGCACGCCAGAGGTATTCTCCACATCGCTTGCTGGACACACACTGGATTCTTTTTAATTTCTTAGGTTGGAATTCAAGATTCCTTTCCTTCAATTTTTAAACAGTTTTAAGATTGTATCAACTTTAACAAGTGGAGCAATATAATCAGCAACAATGGGTGACATGACAAATAGCGATTTTTATTCCAAGAACCAAAGAAATGAGGCCAACCATGCAGGAGAGTTTGGGTGCACACTGCAAGAACTGCGCTCCCTCATGGAACTTCGAGGAACAGAAGCAGTAGTAAAAATTAAAGAGACATATGGGGAAACAGAGGGGCTCTGCAGACATCTGAAGACATCACCAACAGAAGGTAAGCGTATTTCCCTTCAGTTGAATCCGGGGACTTACTGTGTAAGTGCTCTCCAGATAGTGAAAGAAAGAGGTTTTGTTTCAAACCTGAACACAGTTCTCATGGTGCTGCCGTTATTCCCAACAATAATAAAACAAAAGAAAATAAAACCAGTCTAGCTATAGCTGAAGCTAGCATGAGAAGAAAAGATGTGCTGTTTATTCAAAGAGCCCTGAACACAGTTCTCATGGTGCTGCCGTTATTCCCAACAATAATAAAACAAAAGAAAATAAAACCAGTCTAGCTATAGCTGAAGCTAGCATGAGAAGAAAAGATTTAGCTCAAAGAGCTAAATGCATTAATTCTTTCTTATAAGGCAGACAAAAAAAATCAGCACCTGTTTTATAGTATTAAAAGAGGCTTTAACATATATGCTCTTGGGGGTATGAAGGCGCAGGCTAGTTGCTTCAGAAGAATTTCAAGGTGTTTGGACATCTTGAGAATATGAAAAGACCTTTTGAGATACACGTTACGTTATTTTGTAGATCAAGATGTAATATATATGTTTTGTGGTTACTGATCTTGCCTTACTGTATTACCATAGATAGTTTTGCTTAAGTTATCAATATGTAACTGATTGATATTATTATATTGGACATCTTGTGTATTTATAACCAAACGCCTTTTTTATGTTTAATAATACCAATCATAACTTCTCAATATCTATTCTTCTAAGTGTTTTTGGAGTTCTCTACCTGATCGTCAGTCATTAGACTAGTTTTTGACACTCATCCCAAATATCTCCCTATAAACCATAGGCAATGGTGGGATGTTTGCCTCTACTCATGCAATTATTCTGTTCACCAATTCTTTCTCTTTTACTGCAAGTAAAATTCTACTTAATTCTAAGAATTGTGTTCTCATCACTGTATTGTCATCTCCAAGGAATATTAACACTTTTGGAAATTATACAGTCTTTGCGTCTATAATATTTATCTTGGCTTGTAAAGTAGCCAAGATGTTCATTTTAAGTTATCTGCTTTTTCAAGAAGATAGAAGTGTTGGCTTTATTCCAATTTCTCCTTTTTAAAATGAATCATTTAGTTACCTCCTCTGTTTAAATGCTTGAAAGTCTTGAATTATTGGTGTAATCATAAACATGTCAATTGTAGCGTCACATAGTGTGATATTGCAAATGACACTAGTTGAAGAGTCCCAAAGGAGCAGCTATCAATGCCTAGTCTTCAGGTAGATTCTCCATGGTCCTACACTTGATTGTATGCAGTCTCAGTATTGTTTAAACATTCTAAACCCTAAAGCCATGAACAGTACCTTTTCAGCAAAGGATTATTAAGCTAATTCTGTATTAAAATGAGCCGTAAACTCCAATAGTGCTTCAGCATTCACGTGCAATCTTGTATTCTAGAATAACTAGTGGCAAATGGAACATTTTGGAACAGATCTCTCCCATTTTCTAGTTTTGCCCAAATATCTGATCCTTCAAACAGGACCTCTTTTCCTACCTGGAGATTGCTCCCAGTAGGAGTGCTGAGGTAGGAAAATGAGACTCTGCCACTTGTCTGGGATTTCCAGATGTCTGTCAGTGTTTCAGAGAGTGGCCTAATAGCTGTTGCTACAAGAGAATCAACACTTCAGAGAATGTGCAGCAATTCTGACATATCCCTGATGCATCTGGGGAATTCCAGACAGAAGTGCAGGATCTCTATGTTTACATAATAGAATAAACACTGATTTATAAATATCCCACTAGGGACTCAGCATGTTAAATATCCCTCAGTGGTTTACAGAAAGTCAAAGATGAAGTCTCAGTCTGGATGAACCAAGATTACTTCAGTGACTCCAGTAAAGTTTTGCCAACTCATTCTAGCGGTTACCTGGTCAATGTGAACTTCAAAGGAAATGTTAATTACGTTATCTATTCAATTTGTGACATCAGGGAAACTTAATTCCTCATATCGGAACAGAGTGTATGGATCTAACTAGCGTGGCATGCTGACTCCAGCAGTAATCTGTATCTGATACTTCAGATAAGGTAACTTTCCTCTAAGCGTTACGTGCACTTCATCACTTGTGCATTAGGGAAAAACATTTCCAGCTTCAAATGGCAATCAGCATAGCCTTGGAATCATGAAGACTCTGCTGGCGTTTAGTTTTAAATTAGACACACAATAGGAATTCCCAGTCACACTAATTTTAAGAGGGGATCTCTCTGAAATATGTCATGCCAAACTCAGAAATTTTCATTTGAGAGAAAGTATCCGTAAGAATTCAATAGTAAAACTTTTAAGACTTATGTCAAATATAAGCATAGGTTTAGACCTAAGTCCCTGGCCATTGCTTTTCTTGTATCCAAGCACAGCGAAGAAGGGTAAAATACAGTGCAGAGAATATTCTTGGATATGACTGTTCTGAGAGGAAAGAAACATAATAGTTTCTTATACGGAAATGGAGTTTTAACATTCAGTAGAAATTATTTACAAATAAAGTATTGAGATATGTAGTGGAGGCTCCCATAGAGTTTTCTCTTTTGTTATGTGCAGCAAACCATGGATTCCACATGGAATATCTTTATGAAATCCCTTAATTTGCCACTGTACCTGCAAATCACCTTTTCAACCGGCCTCTTTTTTGGTGAAGCACAGTTAACTATTTTTTATAGTTTGGAGTGCTGCACGTTTTACACAGTTTTGTGAGGAATAACAGAATAAGCATTACTGCAGGGCACCACATCTTCTTTCAGTAAACCCAATAAACTCTTGCTGAGCAAGAGTCCTGGGTGAATATGAATGAAATAGCAAGGAGGACTTGACTGTAGAATTTGGTTCTTCCCAGGCATGTAAACTCTTTCAGAATTTATTTTCATAAAGTCTTTTTCATTTTGTGGGATGTGGCTTAAGTACTTACTGGAACAGAGGTAAAAAATGTATCCTGGAAGCAGGCACATTGGTAAAATGGGGTCTAATCTGAATTTACTGGGCTACTCACTGTTTAGAAAATAAGTAGCAGCAATTAGGTCAGAGTTTACTCAGCAATTCATTTCCCATGTTAATGTTTGATGTACCACCTATGGACTGGTAGAATCAATCACTTATACTAAAAGTGCCTTTCTGAAGCTCTGTTTTCAAGGCCTTGAACTCCACAAGGTAGGACGTTTTATGCACAACTCGGATGTTATTTATACTGTTGTGAAGATACACTTACCAGTGTTTTCTGAACTCATGTATTAATCAGTGTGGAGCCTTAAAAGTCTGCTGAATGTTGAGTAGAAAAATATTTGCATGCTGAATGAATTCATAACATTATTATGGATTACAAGGCTTCAGTCTCTTCTTTAAATTTTCTTTGATTGCTTTTTTAACTATAGGTGCAGTGTGGATCCCAGCTCTCAGTTATGCCTGAGGGATTTCCTGCATTAAAGTGATTATATTATAATGAAAAGCTACCATTTAAGCGCTCATAAAAAGAACCTTCCCAAATCTATGGAACTACATTATACGAAAAAATACAAATACGCGTCTCCTTGAATTTTCTTTAAAAATATTTTTATTCAGATTAGTTTCACTTTCATTATTCTAGTAGCACAGAAAATAAGCAGGAGCTAGCTGTCATTTTGCAAAACAATGCTGAACCCCCCACTGGGCAGAGCTGTGATGGCAGTTGTATAACTTTCCGTGCAATCTGAGTCTCCGAGGCCCACTCAAGCATTAGTGATACCTTATAAAGGATAGCTGGTAAAATGTGATGACTTAGCTGGATGAATACCTAATGAGACTGGAATCCACTCTTCCCAATGCTTAACTATATTTTACCCACAATTTTATGCAGTATGCACCAATTTACAGTCAGTTTTTCATCTACATTCCCTTTGTATTACAAAAATGTTTATTCCTTATAAGATTGTATTAATAAATTAACTTTCATGGTTTCTTGCGTAAAGTACTTGGGTGCAGCAATTTCCAATGTACGTGAAAAGTGAAGCAGTGTGTCATGACGCTTCTTTCATTTTTATATAAAGAAAAATCTTTTTCCCGTGGTGCTATCTGTGTGATCAGGCCTGAAACACCACCTCCAAAAGCTGTTACACGTTGGTGATAATGTTACAGCACTATAGGAGAAGTTTTTCTGATGGGGTTTAGCAGATACCGGATAGGTTAAGTTTCTAGGAGTGGTCTGGTGGAGTGTGGGAACATTTCAGATGTGATGTTATTACACGTGCTGGTGGAACCTACTTTTAGTATGAAAAATGCAAGTTTTGGGGGTTTTTAGCTGTAGTTCTCTTAGGCTACTGTAAAAAAGGCTTCATGGCAAGAGAAAGTATCAATTAGCAGTTAAATTATAGTATTTCTAGGGTAGAAGTTGAGTTTTTAATCATCATAACCACCCTTAGTTAAGATAGGTACAAGATAAGTTGCTCTCTCTTTTCAAATGCATGTTTGTTATAGAGGAGAGAGAGACTGAGTATCAATTAAGCCAATTGTGTAGGTGTATTTATTTTTCATTATTAGAATCTAAAAAGCTTTTTATGGTTTTAACTAAAAGATGAAGAAAGACTGAATACAGCAAAATTAACTGGTTGCTTAGTACTCATTAGTTTAGGTTCCTCAAGCTTACTTCTATAAAAATACACTGTTAATAACCCAATATTCATTTTCGAAGCTCATCTCGCAAGTACATACCGGACTTCAGTTAGGTACACCACTATGTTATTACATGTTAAATTAGCTACAGATACGTAAAGAATTTAGAAGCAAATTGAGAAAGGAACGAAAGATACTTGATTCAGACAAATATAAGTTTAAAATAGAAGTAGAAATTAATAGATTGCCAGAGATTGAAATCCATAAAAAACCCCACACTGTCAAAAATAGATCATGAAAGTAAAGAAATTGGTAATAGCATCATTTGAGCTGTTGTTAAAAGAATACATTTAATCATGCATAAAACATCAAATATTATGTATAAGTTCAAGATTTTCTTAAATTATTTCAAATTCAAGGTTT